ACATGCGATTTCTCAAGCCTTGGGACATGTGATATGTGACTTGCGAGTTTTCGCGACTTGGTACCTGCCGGTTGTGCAGACAGAGGTGGGCACCAAACGGGTGAGATAGCCGAGTATGGCAGATACAGAGAGAGGTATTCACCGAGTTTGGCAGGAATTTTATGAAGAAAATCAAATTTACCAGAATTTTCGAAAAATCAAAAAATGCTGGAAATTGTTTGAGAATCTTACAAAACCAAATTTTTTTGAAAATTTTAAAAAAATTTCATTGTGAAATATTTGAATTTTTTTTGGTTTTGTGCGCTTTTTGCACAATGCCCAGCATTTTTGATGTTTTGAATATTTTGAAATTTTTCAAAATTCCCCCACCTGATGCCTTGCAGACCAATTCTCTCTCGGACTCTTTCTGATGTACAGTAGGGCTTTTCGGCGATCCGCTAATACAGCGCTTTTGAATTGCGTACATATGCCCCACGCGCTCAACAGCTGAGTCAGAGAAGTGCGTCCGGCGCCATTTTCTCTTCGCAGATTCAGTCTATTTACAGCTTTACTTTTCCTTTCATATCGTTTTCTTAGGCCTCGCGCTATTGGGCACTTACTATATGATAGTGTAAACATCATGTTAGGCTTTTATATGCATTTGCAATTGGAAAAAGGTAAAGATCCGCTTTTCGGCGGTGGTCTGGATCCTAACCTGTCGTGTATGCGGTTCCCTACTGTAAAAGAAAACGCCTGTACTGTTGTAGGCGATTAGCACTTTCGGCGGAAGATGCAGCCTCTATCCCAGTCACTGTACTAACCCCTCCCCAAAGTCATGGAGGCCTTCAGTTGAGCGATTCCGCCCTCTCTGGGTTAAGATCACAGGGAACCATGCAACGCCAAATTCCTTTTAACGAAGGACAAGTTGCCTGACGGGATGACCTCCCATCAGCAGCAACAGACCCTGGTTTGAATAGTCGAGGCTCCCACCACGACTAAACCCCCGTTAACGTAAGCAAATTCCCGTTTTTGTTGTAAGGCAATGCGTCTCGTATGCAGGAAAGGTGTTATACCTAGCTTGAGCAGGACTCCGCCCTTAGTTAGCTTGTAAGATTGATGATGTCCTACGTTTGACGGAACTGCAGTTGTTGCTGTCTTCAGTTTTCGAACTTAAAACTTGGCACAAGAAAGTTGCTCGCGCATTAATGAAAAACTCAAGAAATTCGACCTCTGCCAAATGTAATTAAATTTATTATATCAATAATATTAAGATGGAGTTTTAAATAAAGTAGGACACAAGCGTGTGTGAAATTGTTTCAGCTGGCGGTCTCTTGCGAACACAGCAATAGAACTTTATTTCGTGACAGCTGAGCAACTATAAGCATTTCAAGAAGGCATCGCCTCCTTGAAGATACTTTCAAAACATAGAACATACAGTGAAATATTGTTAGTATTGTATAATTTAAGAAGGGGTAGGATTGGTAAGACTTGTGTTAAAAAACAAGAAATGCAAACAAAATTTTGGTGGAATAAACAATTTTGAAGACCAAGACTTAGATGGCTCGGTCTTAGATCCACGCCGTATGATGACGCGAGTTGGTTACAAGGCGTACACAAAGTTTAATCGTTCTTTATTGTGTGATTGAATTCCAGTACCGGATTTGAAATTCACGTGGTTGAATTATATTTGGCACTAGGAACAGATAACGGTTGGAGTATAAACGCAGTGACGCATTCATTTGTTTCCAAGTATTTATATTCAGTGAAAGTGTACAAATGAGAATTTCTTTTTCGTGTAATCTTACACTCGTCTTTAAATTGAAGGGTAATAAAGAACACGAAGAGAGTACTAAATTGTCGCTTGGCTGGTTTCCATTCACAGAGCAAACCTACATTTTAAAATGGACGATAACCAGTTCAGTGAAAGCTGATTTCTTGTATTTATTCCTCTTCTGGTTTTAGATACGCCCTCTCTCAGATCCGTTCCAATTCAGAATTCACTTCTCTGAGATTATGAATCCTCGTAAACAGTTGGTAGATCCCTCGATGCATCGAATGGGATTTAAAATCCGCGATCCCAGCGCCTCACAGCGAGCGATCTCTGACATTCCTGTGCATTTGTGTTGCCATCTTGAACAATGGAGAACTTTCATGTCTTCGAGGCTTGTAACATTGATTCGCTTAGGAGCTATTGTGTATCCTATCTGCTTTGAAGAACGTGCCGCGTCTGCCCTGGTCGAACAAACTTAAAGATGTTTTCACTAGGACGTGTTTCTTTATGCTTCAAAACGTTGCTTTGGTACAGATTTAAAAATTAGGTTAAAGTCTAATTATCAGGAATTCAGAACTGAATCCTCAAAGAGTTACCTCAGAATTCAAGGCTAGTAATTTCACTCTGACGTGTCATATATATGACTTTCATCTTGGTTTCCCACGAGTTGAGTATAATTCATGCAGACATATATAACGCATGTCACAGAAGAAGGACCTATGTGCCTCTGAAACGTCGGTAAACTTCTACCAGACAACACGGTACAACAACCCAGAAGACAGTCACCTTCATTTGTTTCTGGTTTATTTAACGGAGCTCTAAATAATTCGAGCTGCAAAGCGTCGCTTGATTGGATGATTAGTAAAACAAAATGGGTTCCAAAGGACGCGGTGTGTCATAGTTCTATCTAGTCCCATCTATTCATCATTTTATAGGGAATTTACTTCGAAGTACCCGAGACAGACCTTGTCCTTAAGGTACATAGTACAGCAGCTATTTCCGAAATACATTTCGTTTCTAATAAATGTTACATGTATTATATAATTTTATTGTTAGATATGACTA